ATGTTCCATGGTTAACAAGGTTAACCCCACAGTGGCATGCCTAACTAGTGAAAGGAATCATTTCAGATGTTTTCTCTATGTTGTTGCTTTATAGTTTATGGGAAAAGGCTGCCCTCTTCTGACAACTTTTCAATTTCTACAAAAGCCTTTACACATTTTTGTATTCTCCATTTCTAGTTTCTCCTTTGTTTCTTTGTCCATTGTATCAATAGGGCCATTATCCCTACTCATTTTGCTCATATTCAGAATGATAAAACATAGAAATGAGAGGGTTAAATACACCAAACAATTAATGTGTAAACCACATATATTTGATAAACATTATAAAAATCACCATCCTTCATACCCAGTCAAGCAGGAAGCAAGTAGGTGTCTGGTATTTTGAGCTGTGGTAAAAATATTAACTGCCACACTTCCCCCTTTTAAACAGGTGTCATCTTCCCATTTTTCAGACACACCCATGGTATGGATCTCTTTATCCACAGCATCTTGGCAGTATCTGTGTAAGCCTTTTAGTCTGAATCCTGACTTACCACATCCAACTTCACATTGCAGACTGGTCTCAGAACAGGCAGAGCATTTCATTGCTTTCAAATGAAATTAAATAGAAAGAAGCTTTCCAGGAGCACACCTACTGCATTCTGACCAGTGCTGGGGAGGCAGCTCTTCCATTCCTACAGTACACAGAAGGATGCAAGGGCTGAAATAAAACTGGATTTTGATGCCACACTGCAGAGCCTCCCTGGCAGCTGCAGCAAATCCAGAGGTGTCTGGTACCAGCCATACAGGCTGCTTCTTACTTTGTAAGAAAGGACACAGAGTTCACTTGAAATTGATAATGAACACAGAATTTTAGGAGTTACACATTGATCATTCAGTATTAAAATTATATTGAATAAGGCCTGTCACCCAGGAGTCCCTCTCCCACTGAGAAATCCAATTTCTGGGCTATCCTGTGCTTTCTCTGTCCCTATAGCTCAAAAGAAACCTTGGAAACTTCAAAGTGGAAAGAGAAGCTGAGTGCTGCCAGTGGCAGCTGTCAAATGCATGAGATGACTATGGACTTACCCTGGTTTAGTATCTGTTTAGGACCCCATGTCTGAATCCTTCATTCCTGACTCATATCAGCTGTGCTGCACTGACCCATCAGTTTCCATCCAGACATTATTGCCTCATCTGATTATTAGTTACCCTGAAATTCTCCTTCAGAAGTAACCTATAACTCTATTTACAAAACTTGCATGAGAAGAGTAGATATTTTTACAGTATTTTCTTCTTCTTAAAAAGATACCCAACCTCCTTTGAGCATCTCCTTATTAAATTGCTTTCCACTCAGCTGCATATAAACCCAGCCCTTAATTCCACCATCACACATCTGCACTTCACCTTATACAAATAAGTATTTCCAATGTGTAATCAATCCTTATCTGAGGCAGAGATCATAAACCACAGCCTTAACTCTACACAGCACCACTGAAATCAATACAGCCCATCCCAAATTAAACTAGCAAATGGTCTTGTCCTGCATATCTTTGATCTAGAGCATTTCAGCTTATCATGAATTAAGATGATGATGCAGCAAACATCTCCTGTCTTATTGCCTTTCATCCAAGTAACATCCTGCTTGCTCCAGTGACTCCTAGCACTTAGAGCTTCTTGACTTATCCTTCCTGTCATGCCATTCCAAATAGTATAGTTAAAAGAAAAAATGAATTTATCAAATACTAAACAGGTCCTATACACACACAGGAAAAACAAGTTTGTTAAGTGAACAGTTTAAAAAACTCCTACAATTTAATCTCTTTATGACTACACACTAAGTATAAATACTGCATTAAATTTCCCAAGCTTGTTGCATCTGATGAAACCAACTTAGAGCTCATTACTGCAAGTACACACTAATGAGATCCCTTTGGTATCACTACAATACAGTGGTTAATTACAGAGCCTACATTTACTCATGGGATATATCTTCCTTCTCACATATAGAGATTCTCCCTTACTGTTTAACAAACTAGATACAAGTAATTTTTTAAAAATAAAAAAAGTTAAAATATTTATCATCACAAAGTGGTGTTTCCATTTCACAGGTGGGAAAATGAAAGCACAATGACATCACCAGGCAACCCAACAGGAATTATTGCCAAATACTGAACCAGGAGAAAACTGGAGCATTTAGGGCACTTGTATAAGGAAAACATTTATTTCTAAATCAAACTGGTCTGAAATTACCTAATTAATGACTTAGGATTTTCTCAAAGGAAGCTGATTTGGTGTTTTCAGCCCTTTCTGAATTTCCCCAATGACACCTTTTTGCACTAAAATGAATAATGTTAGTGGGTATTTTGCACTCTGAACACAAATACACAAAGGAACTGCAATGAGTCCAGCCTCTCTCCAGCTCTGATGCAGAAGTTTGCTCCACTGAGCCACCAAGAACTTCCTTCAGAACAGGGAACTCCCTGGAAGATTTTCATTTTCTGCATCATCTGCTGAGCCTGAGAGCTGACACAATTAGTACAAAGTAGCATGTGGCAGCAAGCCACAGAGAGCACTGCTTTCCCAAACAATTACAGCCCATTTTGCTGGGGCTGGGAGACACAAGTGCTCAGCCACTTGAGAAGTGCAATTTCATGCTGGAAATGCACTGCCTGGAACAGTCCCTCTTACAAAACAGAATTTAACAGCTTATTGTTTAGAACACAAAATAAAACAACGTGAATACAGGATTAAGGTAAAAATAAGTGTGTTTAGCTTTTACTTTAACATTTATAGATTTTTAAAAGTGACAGTAGATTGGAGGATGAGAGCATCGCTTACCCAATGACACTGGATTAACTAACAGTTTATCAATTTTTTTTTCATTTAGAGAAGAATGCAAAACAATAAGCTATTTACATAACATGCATAAGAAAAAAATTTGTTACAAGAAAATAAACATCAGAAGGATTAGAAAAACTTAAACAAGGAAACACCAGCTGAAATTGGAAATCGGGAAAAGAAAGTTTGTCTCATGCTGTTTATTGGAACCTCCAGAGTTATCAACCCCACTGCTTCTTTCCTTTTTACCCAAAGCTTATGAAAAACAGGGCAAAAAAAAAAATCACTATTCCTGTCCCACATATTTTATAGGGATGTGTGAAAATATCATTCCCTTATCACAGCACTGAACAACACTTAATCATGTCTGTATGCCTTCCTGTGTCAACAGGGAAAACAGAAAAATTTTAGCAAGGTGTCTCAGTCTGATATATTTCTATGCTTGAATATCTATATCACACATTGAAAGATTCCAGTTCCAGACATGTGAAATCTAGTCTCAGGTCTCTGTGCTTGTTTAAAGGGATATAAGTAGCAGGTATTTGGAGGCAAGGTGAGGAAAGAAAAGGAGATTCAGAGACCTGTTAAGGTCAGACTAGGTAGATGAAAGTCTGGACAAAAACCTGCAGAATGAAATGGGAGTAACAGCATTTTCAAAAAACAGAAAAAAAAGATAACTCTTTAAAATCCACCCCTTAACAAGCATATAAGCAGACAAAAAAAAGTCTTCTCCTGTGTATCTCCTAATGATGGCCTCAAAGGAAAGAAAGAGCTATAAAGTAAAATGCTAAAGCTGAGAACTTGACTAGATCTATGGTAATTGTCTATGGTAATGTAATTACTATTTCTCAAGAATTATTTTTTTTCTTTTCAAGAGTCAGTCCATAAGCATGGCTGTCCACAAGTCTGTGTATTTTTGGTTTATCCAGACAAGAAAAAGCATGTGCAATGGCTGGTTCAGAGCTTTGCATGGTCTGACCAGCAGGCTGGAGCTGTCTCCAGCAGGGAAAACGTGCCTGCCTACCTGCCTTAGGTCACTGTATTCCATCTTCCTTACCACCCAGCTTTTGACTTGCAACAAAACCTACAATTCACAGATTTGGACATCCCATTCCACTGACATTCAGATGAAATTGGTTAATAGGTTCAACCAAGCATTGCTGTCAAGTGTAGGGACAGAGGGGACATGGGAAAGGAAGGAAATGGATGATGTGCATAGGAAGCATTTGCATGAGAAACCAGCATGAAACACATAAAAACAGCCTTACAGAAGAAAAATACACCCATCTCTCCTCCAATCAGTTCCATCAGGAAAGGCAGTCTGGGACAAGAAAACTTGTTTTTCTGAAGGGGAGGAGGTAATCTTTTTGTACCATTTATTCCTGCTCACATCCCAATAGGTGGAAAGCTTTCATCAGCCTCAACCCAAACCACAGATCTAATTCCAAGATGCCCAAACAGAAACAAAATGAAAATAAATTTATTTCACTTTAAGTTATTCTCCTCAGAATAGACATTAGATTACTTTGTATCTGAAACAACACCACTCTGTCCATAACAGTTATAAAAAAAAATCTGGATCTCTGCAATAGCATTCATCTATGATAACAACAACAGATTTAAACCAGAAAACTTACAAATGTACTCACAAATATTATTGTTCCACTCCTCATACTGAGATGTTACATAAAGAGAAAATATGAATTCATTTATCCAATGAACACAGCACAGCAAAACTGTTATGTATTAGATCTGTAGATCACATGTACAGTGTATTAAATTCATTTAGTAGACAGATTGTTATGTTTCCGTGAAAAAGCCATTACAAATAATAAATATTTAAATATATGTATGACAAATAATGTGCCAGGATTATGCAGACAATTCATATTTAATTCAGTAGTTGCTTCATTGCTAACAAAGAGTAATGAACAGACCATTGCATGTTCTCCACCATGATACATTTACTTTACTCAAATAATTTTCCAAGCACATACATGTCTCAACTTTTCAATTAATTTCAGCCTAAGGCACTCAGAGCAAGTAATGCATATTATCAGGTAGACTCTTGAAAAATAAATCTAGCTTATCTCATTTCCTTTCTCATTGCAGTCTTTATCCTGAGGAAGCATCAAAATGTCACTGCCCTGAGAGAAATTAGGTTAGTAGTAGCTCTCTTTTCATGTACCCCTCTCAGAGCAAGGGATAGGTTTGAAGGTCACCTCAGTGTTCTCCATCAGTACAAAATCATATCTGCATAGCTGTAGCCTACAAAAGCAGAGAAAGAAAAAAAATATCACAACAGAAAAAGTTCACTTTAACAGAAAAATAATCCAGTATTTGACTTATTAAACCTCCAGTATTTACCAGCTCTCAGACACAGTACTCAGGACAAGTGTCTCCTGGTATAAGTTTATACCTTATTTCATGCATTCCTAGAGTAGTTTTGATGGACTGAAAAACAACCAAACATCAGCTGGATGATGCAAAGAAGTGCATCACACTGGTCTGAAGTATAAAGATGCAGCATTTCATCCATTACAGCTATTAATCTGCACTCAAATTAACTCTTTAGCAGCATGACCCAAAATCTGCACAATTCCTGCTAACACAGGGTCTGAATAATTGATTTTGACTTCCCTATGTAGAAAAATATCTTTGTTTTTATTTTACATAGGAAAGTAAGGAACCACATCATAATATTTTCTCTTTCACTTGCAATGACAGCATGTGTAAGAAATTTTAATGCAAGAGTGCAATTTGTCTTCTAAACACCTAGAAAACTCACAGCTGACTAATATTACATGAATACATAAAGAGGTCACAAAGGCAGCCACATATACATGAAAAACATGCTTTTTGAGGTCAATATAAGTGCTCTGCCTTTTAGGGCAGAGGCTGCTCTTCATGTACTACTGTAATGTATGGAGAGGGGAAAAGGACAATAAATGAAAATGACAGGAAATGAAAATGACAGATATACTCTGGATGGCACCTCCATAGCACACAGCCATGAGACTTATTTTATTTAAAATTATCTTCTCTATTGCTCTGAACTCATAGATGTGGCTATACCACACAATTCACCTCGGCCTGGGAAGTAGAATACAGTGGAACAGCAAAAGGAGAGAGCAGCACACCAGGCATTTCCATTGTTGCCCCTTCTTATAGGATTTCCTATAGTTAAGGCTCCACCTGTTTGTATGTGGAAGGACTGTCAGATTTCTAGTTAAAAATTTGACACCTTTTAAGGTCTCCACAAAGTTATGACAGTAATTTTATGATTAAATAGATCAAGATGAATTTGGGTGTCCTGTACAATCCAGTCCTTCATCAACAATTGGTTTTGATTTGAATTCAATGTTTCATTATTATAGTATTTTTGTAATATTATTTCTATCTAACCACAAGGGCCAAAATACCTAGCCAAACCATACTGCTGAATTCTGGAAATAAAAGCTTATATTTTCCAACATATTGTATCTCATTTGAACTGCAATTCATCTCAGTTTGTGATTACTGATTACAGAATGCCTCACAGGAGAGTAGTCCTGGGCAGGGAGTAGGTTCACCAACAAGGAGCAAAACACAAAAAATGTTTTTGTGAGGCTTCTTAACCCCTCAACCTAAATGTCTTCTCTGCTGCCTACTAAAAATCATGGGCATGCCACACCTGTTCAGAAGAGGTATTTGCAAGATCTTCTTTACATTATCTCTGTTCTTGTTTTGGTTCAAAAAATCCCAGAGGTGTCTGGCTAAGTATCTTTGAGACATTCACCTTCCTCTTTAACTGCATCTAAATTCACTGACAGGTTTATAAGATTTTGGGGATAGCTGACACCTGGACATGCACAAGTTAGCAAAGCTTTCTGGTTTTATGGGTGAGCAGAAATGATTTATCTCAGGGATCAGAAGCAGAGTATGAAAATTATGTGTACCTTTCAGCATTCCCATATTCACATACCATCTGTGTGAATAGTGGATCAGGCCAGCACACAACTGCCTGTGATATTCCCCAAACTCCCACAGTTTGCCATTAACCCAGACCTGGGCAGACTGAGACTCCTATTGTCTTTTATCCCTGCATCTGTCCCCTGGTTTTTATCTACTACTTTGTTGTGAATAATTCAAGTAGTTTTAATGGAGTTTCTAGCTGATCATCCTGTATTCGAGTAATTGTCGTAATTATATGTAAATAAGGTAAATATAGGTTGGTATAATTACAAAGAGCAATTAGGTAATTATACCAATAGTGCTTTAACATCTGCATTTAAATTACCTTCACATGCTGATTCAATACAGTCTTTTTAACTAAAAGTTCTCTCAAAGTACCTAACACACCTCTACAGCTGCAATCTGATGAGGCTCTACATGAAGGACTCTAGTGGATCTTGTATTAAAGCACATCAAATGTATCTTACTTTTAAACTAACAAGAGTCAGACTAACAGGAATGAAAACTCAAACCCTATAAGGGGTTATTCACTGAAAATCTTGCTTGCTTGCTAGATCATTATCTGAGAGAGCCCCAAGTGCTGACAGGCTTACATGAAAATGTATCTTCTGATTTATCACCACTGGGCTAAGAAAAAAAATGGAATCTGATTTAGAACTTTTCACCCTCTCTCATCACCAAATGCTTTGAAATACAATCATGCCATTTTCACCTGAGAGCTTGAGACTTATGGCTTTCAATAAGTTAATAAAGTCAAATGTATGTACATTCTGGGGTACTATTTTGATTACTGAGTGGTTTGTTTCTTTCTGTCTCTCCCCATCCATCTCCTTCTCTTTCTCAGTAAATCAAAAATGGATTAATTTAAGAAGGTCTCATAATTTTTGCAAAATATCATACCCAATTCTTACTAGGCTATTATCATGCACCATAAAAGAAATCCTCAAGTGTTGCATCTCAAGTTAATAAAATATACTGACTTAAGACTTAGTAAGTCTTGTAATATTATTCTCATTCATTACTCATTTGATATGCATTGTTATGTTTTTATTTTAAGTTCTGATTTTCTTGAATCTGCCAATAATAAGAAACAAATTAACAACTCTCAAATAAAGTACTCTTGCTACTCCTGGATGTTTCTTACCTATTCCATGCAATAGGTTCTTTTCACACAATGCAAATGCAAAATTTAACTGCTAGAGTTACTGCACAAGTAAATTTGGAGATTTAAAAATGAACACATGGTAATGCTGAAATATTTTAAATCAGAATTAATAAAAGCTTAGCAATTACACTCAATTGCAAAAAAAAAAAAAAAGATTAAATTTTAACTGTAAGCAGACACAGACTGTGTTCTGATCTTAGAAGAACTTTCTACCATCATCAGTAAGACCAAAAAACCTGTTCCAGTCTCACATGTTGCTGAAGCTCCATTTCACACCTGAATGTGAAAAGCTGTGTACAGACACATGAGAAAAATCAGAAAACTGCTTGATAAAGTTTATCTCATGGAGGAAAAGCTGACCATGCAAGTCAGGCTGGTGCTTGAAAGCACAGCTGTGACACACAGCACGTGTGACACCTCCATGTACAAGCTGCTGTGCACTAAATGTTAATGTACACAGCAGCTCTTCCACAGGACAAGTTTGATCATCAGGATGATGAGAAGAATATTCATACAATTAGGAATATGCAATTAAAAAAATTAATGCAGGGAAATCCAGGTTACTGAGAAAACATCCTGAGCACCTTAGTTGACACCCAGCTGTGATACATGACAAACACTCACCTTTTTGGCTTATTGAGAGATTTCAGCTTCATCTGAAGAATCCTAAGCTTGCTTTTTGGGCCTATTAAAGTCTTTGTAGAAAAAGTCAAGGAAATTTTTGCAATTTTCTCAATGTCTTGGTAAAATCCAGTCAGTATTTTGACTCTCTTATATTGCTGAAATGTTGAAGCTTCACTAAAGAAAAAATATTTAGACAGGCTTTTGTTAGCTGAGTAATATTCATTATTGCTAAGTATTATTATTTAACTGGGAAATCTTTTGGGATGTATCAACTTTGAGCATTGAGAATGAGGCCAGCTAGAACAGAATTCAAACCAACACCAAGAAAGGATCATTTCAGTGTGAGGGCATTGCCCTGATACTGAGCCACACCCAGGCAACGTCTTAACATGGCCAAGCCTTAACAAACTCAAGATACTTTTTCAACTTGCAAGCTAACAAGTTAAAAGGTTTAGAAAACTCATAAAATTAATCCTAAGAAGTGATAAATAAAAAATTAAAGACAACGAACAACAAACCTATTCATTTGCGCCTCTACTGCGTTTCCAGCATTGTCTATTATTTTAACTCTAATGAAACCTCTCCTCATGCTTTTATTCCAGGTGGTAATGTCCAATAAGTAGTTATACACTGCAGGAAGAAATAGGAAATCATGAGAATAAAAGAATGATCTCAACAGGAAACAGCTGGTATCCCCACCCTGTTAAATGTATTTACTGGTAGGTGATAGGAATAGCGACTCTTTACTTTTACCCTCCCAGTTCAAAGGAGAATAAAAAGCTGACCTGCTGCTGACCTGCCTGACCTGGCCTTCTGTACCCATCATGACAGGACTGGAACCTTTACTGCTCCAGTCAGGACACCAAGAAAAACTGTCTTGGTTTTTTGGCATGTGGCCAAAAAATTATCATTATTATCATTTTCACCTAAAAGACCAGGACTAATATGAGGGCATGACTTGCTCAAGTTTACCATTTCCCCTTCTTTTTAAGGCCTCTTGTTAGTTTCTGTCTCCTCAGCTTTCCAAATATCTAATAATTAAGGCTTTTATTAATAAATACACTCTTTTTCAGACTGGTTTGTTTTGCTTCCTGACTTTGCTTTTTTTTTTTTCTTCTTAATCTTGCATATTTTCCTTTAAATAGATACTGTCATTACAATATTTCTTATTCTGCTCCATTTGCCCCCTCCTATCTTTGGTAATATTTCTCTTCCTTTTTTCTCCCTTTTACCACCACCAGTGAGGGGCAGGGGAGAACAATAGTAACAGGTTTGGGTTGAGCTCAAAGTCATTGGGAAGAGGAGTTATTTGTAAATTTTGTGTTTAAAGAATTATGTAAAATCCATCACTTCATTCACCTTGCCTCAATCCTTTGGAAGATACAATGATGTCAGCAAACATGACTAGGACCATCTGTTCCTGGTCACAAAACTTGCCAAGAGGATGGACAAAACTAATGGGAAAACCTAATTTCACATTCATTCCCTGTAAGCCTGTCCCCATACCCTAAATGAAAGAACCTTAAACATAATAATTAGAAGTGTGTGTGGCACTTTTTCAGGGTTATAGAGTCTTTTAATAACAAGAGAAGTTCAATGAGAATCCAGGATGAACCTACATGGGTAGGTAGGTATCTAAACTGTTGCAGCTGAAGCCCACACCATGAGAGCTCATTGCCACAGAATCTAACTCTGAACAATCCAGCTGAGTTTTCCCTTCGCTGTTTTACTCCTGGGGTGACATGGAGAAGCTTTATTTGACTGTAGGGTGATCTACAGGGGTGGAAGATAAAGGTTTCTCTTTCTTGTCCCCCACCCAGGGCAGTCTTGCTTCCCTTTCCTACTCTCTGGAAATGGCAGCACTGATCCCATCTAAGGAAGTAGCATCAATCCAGCTTTTTCCTTCCCACTTGATTCTCATTTTCTGGCTTTCTTCTTCCTCTTGGCAGTCCATCCCATTACTCTTAAAGGTAAATTTCTTTCCCAGTTCACACAGTATTATTTTTTCCTCTTTCTCCAGTCTGTGAACTGACCCTTAGTTCATGGTTTTTTACATCATTTTACACAGTGGCTAACACTAGCTTCTACTTTTAACATGCTTTTACTCCAGATCAGCTAAAAAATACGAGTCATAAATTTTTATTAAGAGGTTTTATGTATGTATTTAGTTACTCACTGCAGAATGGGTCTTTGTCTGAGGTATCAAAGTAAGCTTTTGTTGGTGAACTATATGGTATCAACAGCTTTTTCCATCTATCAGCATGATAACCTGAAATCCAAAGTTTAAATATTTCATTTCAGACATGTAGCAAAATCACGATACACATATGTCTGCACAAAAGTATCTCATACCATGACAAATTTGGCTTTAATTTTCTTAAATATCCTCTGAGAAAGAAACCTGACTAGAAAAAGGAAGGAATCCTCTGAGTAAAACAGACTGTAGTACACAAGTATTTAATTCCTCTAATATATTAATATCACTAAAATTGTTATAATGCAATAGTAACCTCTTTAGTCTAGATACTAACTCAAGAAAATAGTGCTGACAAAACCCTGCAGAGGTAATAAAAACAACCCCAAAAATGTGGCCCACATATTTGCAGAGAGCACTTACAGAATAGCTTCCCTTTCTTTCATTTGAATCATTAAATATACTTGAATTCTTAAGCCTATTTGTAGTTATTGTTTAATAAAATATAAGATACTGTGCAAACCCCCTAAGCTCATGGATTTAACATAGAGAGAAATTTATACAATTGCATGACTGTGGTTTTTGGGGGTTGATAATAGCCCTTGTTTCTAGAGCAGAAGATGCTCTTCTCTCCCTGTTAGTCTCTATCTAGACTGGACAAGGAAGGCTAATTCCAGACTGCAGAGCTCCCACTGCAAAACAGGAAAGATTGCAGCAGAAGGAAGGATGCTGCTTCTGCACTCAGTTCCCAGACTCCGCAGCTGACTGGGGAAATGTTTCTGCACCTCTACCTTGGATATTCTGTCCAAGTGCATCCAGCTTGGCTAATAACCATGCTGGAGAACTCCTGGAGTCTTTCTGTCCTACTATAAAGGCTCATTATGGTTGGTTTTTTAGGAAATAACACACTATCTATGCTTTTTCTTCTAGCCTGACCCAACTAATGTAACATACACATCCCAGCATAAAAGGTGTAAAAAAAAAAAAAAAAGGACAGGATATAAATTAAAAGTTAACTTCTAATTATGCATTTTTAAAATGTCATTCTTAAAGAAAACCCTGCCAACTAGGAGATGCTCACGCTATTGTAGCTCTTTTCAAACTGCACCCAAATCCTCTCTAACAGCAACAAAACCCAAAACAATTAAAATCCCCTCCAAATAAAAGCTTGATTCCAAAGGAAGAGCAAAAGAAAACCCCATGAAATTGCTTTAAACATTATTACCCTTAAATTTTATTTAAGCATTATTACCCTTAAATATTACCCTTGAAAACTACAGGTCCTTTAGGGATCACACAACACTCTCAAGTGAGGAACTAAGCACAAGAAGTTTCTCTCTAGAAAGGGGAAACACTGAATCCCTTCCAGACTGGAAAGCACAAAACCCAAAGAGTAGGAACATTCAGCACCTGTGCCTAACAGAGCTAAGTGTAAAGCAGACAAACTCATGAATTTTTAACTACTTTAACTCCCCAGGAAATCTCACCCAGCCCACAACAGGTAGGGTAACACTTACCCACTACTGGGCAGGACATGGGCTGGAAAGCATCACAATCAACACATTTTCCTCTCTTGTAATCCAAGTAAGAGTCACAAGGATATGCTATTATGTCACAGTTGTTTTTCAAAGATGACAAGAAGAGGAAGACAGATCTCTGATGGTCACATTTAAAATACTGAAGTCCTTCAGGGAAGAAAAAAAAGATATATAAAAAGAAGAGTTAATTTTTATTAATTAAAAAAAAACATGTTGTATAAGCAGAATCATAGAATGGTTTGGGTTGGAAGGGACCTTAAATATCATCTTGTTCCAACCCCTCTGCCTTGGGCAGGGACACCTTCCACTACACCAAGTTGCTCAGAGCCCCATCCAACCTGGCCTCGAACACTTCCAGGGTTCATCCACAACTTCTCCATGAAGCCTGTGCCAGTGCTTTATCACACTCTGAGTGAAAATTTGGCCAAAGGAAATTACCATAAGGAACACTTCAGAGATTCTTCTCTACTTTTCTGGGGAAATAAATTCCTTCCTTTCCCAACAAAGCAAACTTTGGGAATTGTGGAGATGATGATTGTGCTACCTTAAGGTATTCTCCCATACTCACTAACACACAAGTGGAAGCCTTATGCCTTGGCAGCAGCTCTAACTGGTAGCACTGTGCAAGTCAGTAATGGGAAACACTGACAGAAACAAACATATCCAAAAGAGTAAACAAAAATAATTGCCAGCAACCTTGCCTAACACTCATGGAAGTTGAAATAAGCACAATTCTGCATCAAAAGATCATTTCATAAAACTGTTTTTACCCTAGAGCCTAAGACATATCCAACACCCAAACCTAGTTTATCACTGCCAGCCAGGAAGAACTAAAAACACAGTGGGGATGTGGAAGATTTGCCTTCTGTGCCATAGTCAAGGGATCCTGCCCAAACCAATGGAACATAAACACTTTCCCCCATGCCTGGACCCCTATAACCAAGGAAAAATAATGATCAGTACATTCAGATTTTATATATAATACAATATATAACAATTCCATCATGCCAACATTAATTATATTATGGGAAATTTATGTTATAGCAAGATTATTTTCAAATATCTTTATTATTTTTCTTTTGCTGCATAGGGATGGAAAAGAAAGCATGCAGTATCAGGTCCCATATTACTGACAAAGTGCAGTGTACATTCAATTCAATTTAACCTTTTTTGATTTGATCTCAAACTTTTCTTCCCATTAAAGAAAGAGATTTTTATTTACCACTGAAAAATGTTTTTGGACAACCAGGCTGATCCATTCCTCCATTTGGATAGAAATCAATGGTTCCTAAAGGCTTCTTGAAACCTAGTGCTAAAGTAAAAACATCATGAATGAAAAAAAAGCCCCATAAACAGAATTACAAAGGCAATTATCACATTCACTCCAAAATCATGGAAGTCTTAAAGAAAAATTTTGCAATTATACCATTCTTTTTGTACTGTAAATCAAAGTCAGGCTATGAGGTAAAAGTCAAGGTTTTTTTTCTCTTTAAGAAAATTATATATATGTAAAATGATGTGCTCAAATGTATACAAAATTGTGTAAGATTCCTACTGCTGCAAAAGGGAGGGAACAGAAACAGCTGTAAGTGAGATATTATTCACATAAATACATTTATGAAATTGATATCCTCTCCAACCAAAATTCTTCCCCAGTGCAAATTTCATTAGAGCAAAACTTTCCATTTTTTGCAAGACATTAGATTCTGAACTACACTAATATTAGCAGTAAGTCAAAGTAAGAAAATTTGTATCTGCCCCATAAAAGTAAGCAAAATTCCATGAGTAAGAGTTTATTCAGTCTGACCTACCTTCCTTTTTACCACACATTATCTGTAATCACATAATGGGAACCTTACAAAAATTGGTATTTTACAGCCTCAGACTGAATTTGATATAGGGAAATACTTAAATTTTAATATTATTAAAGAAACTGATATGAAACTACACAAATAATGGGACAATTGTGGTATTAAAGGTTTACTTATGATTTTGAGGAAAAAACTGAAACCAGAGATTAAAGCACAGATAAAGCAGACTTTACAATGCTCTTCTTTTTAACCTTACAGTAACATGGTTTAGTGTTTTAAGCAGTGGCTCTATGATGTACTAAGTTGATACAGCAGAGACTGGCTGTCTCAGAAGGGATTAATTCAGTGATAACCAGGTGCTTGCAACCTCTGTGTTCATACAGACTTGCACAGCAAAAGAACATTCATGTTAACAGAAAATATTCTCCTGCAGCACTATTTGGATGCTACAGAACCAGCTTATCCCTTCCCTTTTGCTTCCCTGCCTTTGCTCAGGCTGAAAGAGGCAGGTCAAGGCTCTGCTGTTACCATCAATATCTGAATGGATTACATCCACAAACTGTGCATCAGTAGGGTCCAGTCTGTGCTCGGGTGGTTCTCCAGTGAATGAAGGGCCTGCTGGATCCAGACCTGAATAAAAACAACATTTGCATCATAAACCCTGGGCTCCTTCTACAGATATAGGAAAGGCCAACATCTGAGCATTATTCAGCAGTGATTCTTCATTTTCCAGGTATAAAAATTTTAAAAAAGCATAATTTTTCTGTTCAACTTGCTAAGAAAAGAAGACTCCTACCACAAGACTGATTGATCAACCCATATGTTGAATTTCTCTCTTCCCATAACTAGATGTGCATTTATTCAGATGAATATAAGCCAACAGCATTGAGGATCAAATCAGGATTTTTTTTTTTTGTCGTTTTCCACTGAAAACACCATACCTTATGCATTTTATAAGACCAAAATGCACAATATAACTCCTCTCACCTCCAGAACACAACTAGTCAGACACTCAGGTATCATTTAACTTAAGTGTCACCTAGATGAAACACTCAATTTTCATTTGAGAGACTAGAGGTAACCAGGTTGGAAAATTTAATCTGTAATTTATGTCCTGAAGGCAGACCTGCCCCATTCCCTGAACTTCTACCAGGGCTATATTTTTCCTCATGTTTGTCATTAAATATTGAGTTCTCATTTGTCAATGTCTCAGAGCTCTGACAACAATACAGGGTACAACAGAATATGTGCACTAGGATTAAAAGGCTTACCTGTAATTCTGGCAAGTTTGCCTTTATACTTCTGGCCAACAAAACCAGCTACATGAGCACCAAGACTGACTCCAATCATGTACAGAGAGTCAAGAGATGCTCCACCCACCTATCAGGGGGGAAAAAACACCAAAGCCAGTCACACACAGAACTAATGGAACAGAAATCACTAGGCTGGTTTAGTTTTCACTTTTGGTCAGCACTTAAAATTATATCTCTAATTTTCTAGCTCTGAAAAAAAATGGATATTACAAAGTTCCTTTCAGTTTGCAATTCTATTTTAGTTGAAGTGTAGAAATTATGAAATTGTTTAACTAGAAAAATATAAAAAGGAAGCTTGAGTCACATTTCTCCTGAAATGCCACATTAGTTAGAAGGGAAGAGGAAGACATTCATCAGATATAAGAAAGTTGAACCAAAACAATAAAGGAGGAAAAAAAATCTCGCCCTGCTTTATCCTTCCAATAAAATAAATTAAAATCATAATACCATTAACAAATACTTTTGTCACACAACGGCTGAAAAATGGTGCCAAATGCACACCTTAAAATGCCTATTCTAGAAAGCAGTATTCCAAAAAACCCAAATGAAAATCTACAGGAGAACTTTAGGACAGTGTCACCTAACCTAGCTGGAATCCCTACAAAATGATGGGGCGACACACAGGACCTGAAATATTAGTTGGTCTTAAAATGAATTAGAAGCCCCTCACAACAGCTTGTAAGTGTGAGGTGATAGCTGTGGGACACTACAGACCCTCCTTCCCCATCACTTTCAGGACTCACACACAGTGTCACTGTTTGCCAGGCAGATGTGTAAACAGCAATTAACTTAATTAATCTTCTCATAGTCCTATTTAATTTTTTTAATTGCATAACAATAAATCTACTAGCACAATTGCAAATTGTTATCATTATATCTAGTCCCAGAGGACAGATTCTGATAGGCTGAAGTGAAAGGAAAGAAAGCCTTTCTCAAAATGTTGGACGTTTTTCTGAAATTCCACAGGAATATTTTTTTTACTTCACAGCATTGTCATCTTATTGCAGGGGTTCCATCCTGTTGTCTCCTATCACAAAAGTTCCATACCTTCTTGGTGTTTCTCATGGGCAGCTCCTCAGAGCACTGACTCATTCTTCTTCCCAAAGCAGCCAACAGACTCCAGTTCCCTTCTCAAGGCCACCCCACTCTTTTATAGCATCTTCTTCTCACTGGTTACAGCTGTGGCCTGGTAAAGCCAGGCCTGTTCCTAATCTTTGATAATTGGCCCAGCTGCAGCTCATTAGGGGTAAGGTTACTTTCTACACTATTTTTATTTTCTTATATTCTATCGCCCTATAACACAGCATTCAAAATTTCTGAGAGTGGCTGAGAAATAAGTGGTGAGAAAAGATGAAAATTCAAGTGACAAATCACACAATGGCATAAATAACATCATGACATGTTTTGTCCATTTGATCAAGCAATAAATCTAATATCCAGTAAAGACCACTGGCATCAACTATGGTTTCAGGAACTGCCTCTAGAAAAAAGAAGTTTATACCATTTGGGAATGAATATTTGTATCTTTGCCAATGTTTTATTTCTCATTTAAAACCTTTATTTACAGTAGATTAATAGTAAAAAGAGTAGTGCAATGCCTTTGTAAAATGTTTATGCTACGTACTATTAGAACATCTCTCCCTCTGCTTTCCCACTAAAGAATTCACTCTTTCCAGAAGACCTAAAACTTCCAGCTGGTTCAAGAAATCAGATGCACCTTCAGGCACATTTCAGTGAAAGGGAATTAAGAACTCAGGTGAAGTTAAATATATGCAATAATAACTGCAAGTAAAGTTAGTAATACCTCTATAAAGAAATGTGATTTGATATTGTTCACTGGACTTCTCTATATTTTAAATATCCATTCCCACTCTAACCATGCCCTTCACACTTACTCAGAACAGATGCAATGCTCTGCCTTACCAGCATCTGGTCAATATAATTCTTCAGTATTTCTGCAACTTTTCTGCAGTTTTCCACAGCAGTTTTGTAATTCACAGTGGTAGCACCACGATTCCAATCAACTATAATGAGATTAATATCCTCTGAAGAGAGTAAAAGCTTCTTCATGTCACCCAGCCATGCTGGAGGAGATCCTGTTGGCCTGAAGCCATGAATAACAAAGACAATTTTCTTGTTTGTATTCAGGTACTCAGATGCAGAAACATTGTGTTCAATGAGTCTCTCAGCACAATCTCGATTTTCCCTTGTGAACAGGAGTAGCTGAACATGGAGTTCTGTTCCAGACAAAGCATCACCTAGGTTAAGGTCTGTAAATTCGGGACATTTTTCTTCCTCATCTGAAAGAGATGAAAATGTTTAAGACCGTCATTTGATGAGTTGGGCTACCTGAAATACCACTTCTTCACTTTTCTTTGCATATCTTTTTCTGCTGAAAGTGGACAACTTCAATTTTCTTTACTCTTGACCTTTGGAAAGAGGTGTCAAAACATGCACTGAACAAGGAACCACACTTTAACTAACAACTCTGCAGATACCTCCTCTGAACCCTTCAAATGTGAAATTATCCCAATTTTTCCTGAACAGTGTATTTTCTCCTTAGAAGTACTAATTAGTAGCCAGTGTTGATAAGATCTTTTACTTCACCATCAAAGGCAGGTTCTCAGAATTTTTTCACAAGAAGTGCGTGCTGTAGAAACAGGAAGGCTGTTGTGGCTGTTTCTTCCTCTTTGGGCCAGGATGGCTGTGCTGCCAATCCTTAGACCTTATTTGTTTGATCTGGCAATAAGAAATAGCTGCCTGACAAAACAGGAATGATCCAGAACTTTCCTAGCTTTGGATTACCATAATGGCACCATTACCAAGAAGTAAAGGCAGAAGAAACAAAGAATTTTGCTCTGAGATTGAAAAAATAAGAATTAAGGTCAGTGTACACAATGGCACATGACAAACAGTGGGATTTAGCATTTCTGTCTGTACTTGGACAGTTAGGGTGTACCAAATTAAGCTGGTCAACAAGAGGATGGAGATTTTCAAAAGAGTCTAAAAAGATTAAATTTCTCTGCTGTCTGGTTATCGACACCCAAAGTTCACACTTTAAAGATCTCTTTTGGCTGGTGAGGTCACACTGTGTGGATAAACCACTCCAGGATTCTGGGCAGAACACCAACACCTGTCAGTTCTTCTGCAATGGCCTCTTCACCTCTGCTATGGTTAGTTGTTTTTTGGCCAAAGTTTTTGGCCCATCTCTTGACTTCCAGTGGGATACCTTACTTTACACAATACTTTTGTCTCTCTGTTACTTGATGTCACCTTTTCAACTCTTCCATCATTAAAACCTTTGCAAAACAAATCACTTTCAAGAAAGCAAGAGCGAGAAAAGAAATAGCGTCTTCTTAGTTCCTTAAAAATAATATTAAAAAAATAACCTGAATTTCTCCGATTTTTTGAGGCATAAGAGAAGCAGTTGCAGCCCTTCTCCTTTTCCCAGAGGACAGTTCACAGGCAGAACCAAATCCACCACATCTGAGAAGGACAGCAAGCCTGCAGCCTGTCTTAAATCTGCCAAAGGCAAGCGTGGGTGGCTTACAAGGTATTTGAAATATGTGTCCAATACTACAGGTCAGGTCTAAGCAGAGCTGAGCAATGTGAATTATGGCATTCAAGGTGCAGTAAAGATTCAGTAAAGGCACTAAAGACACTAATCTACTAATTTAGGGAACTAGACCAATCACCTCTAATGCCAAACCATGTATCTACAAGGACTAGGTTGGTCACCTCTGGGCTGGACATCACAAAAAACCAATGGATATAGTCCAAACAGGAGCAGGCTTGAAGTTACACAGTGTTAAAAATAAGCTGAAACTCCCTGCTGCAAACCAACCAGACAAAAGTTTCATGCCTATCATCATGTTATGACAGTAACTACAATTATTGCATGGAGAAAAAGACAGAATTATATTGAAAAATAAATACCATTGTTATCCTCATTTAAACACGTATTAATATAAATAACTTTAACTGAGATTACTAGACAGGTTATTAACTAAGAAGTGATACAGGAAGACAACTCATTTCATCACTTGGACTTATCCAAGAAGTTCTGAAACTGAAAACTGTTCAGCTGAAGTGAACTTGAATTTTATTAAAAAAATAATCAAGAAGCTGTTAAAATGTCATGCATGTGACATGATCTTGAGATGTGAACAGTATGTGTCACCTTTGATTTCTGGTTTTCATATATTTGTATAATATGATAAAACTAGAATATAAATTACAATACACTAACTTCACCTATAAAGTGAAAATAAAAACCAGCCACTTGATTATAGTTTCAAAGGTACAACATGAAACTCTCATTTTGCCTGATCTGGTCTTTAAATCCAAGTTTAATCACTGATCCTTAAAATTCACTCCTTCATATCTAAAATATAAAAGATCCATGCTAAGATATTGCTCTGTATCCCTTTAAATATTTTTTTTTTTAATCATTTGATTGGTAGAAATAAAACTTACTTCTTCTAAAACCAGTGGAATGACAGTGAGATAAACCAGACACAATATGTTCCATGGGAGTGAGAAATCTCTCATAAGGAAATTATTTTAACTGCCAAACCTATTTACTAGCTGGCCAATGTCAAAGAGAAGCAACTTGTTTACTCTTGGCTGTGAAATGACAGAAGTGGTTCTTTCCAAGGTAAATAGAGAATAAAACCGAAATGATGATGTTTTTACTGTGGAATTAGATAAGTCATACAAATAGGTTTATAGATCTAATACTTTGAATTGTTTAGCGAGGAGTCATAAGGGGAAGTTTTTCAAACTCCTGTTTCTCATTGAACTGGAAGCAATACCCAGCTGCCCTTTGTGCTCTCTTGTTGGAGTGCTCACTCTTTTCTGTGCAATCAAAACATACACGTAGGCACTGGGCTGTTAGGCATGCATTTTAAGCAAGTTAATGTATAATTGTAACTGTCTTGTGCACATTTGTAAGCATTTTAATTGCCTCATGTGGTTGAAAAGGGGAAAATCTTAAGTGCACAGTCTTTTTTGTAACTAAATGTTACCATTTAAAAATGTAACATGTAACTTGAAAATCTAAGCACCTGTCACATCAGCAACAACCAATAAACACACGTGAGTATATTAAGACTATTTCATGATTACGTCTACTTTGTGCAAAGTGCACACACCTGAGCAGGTCTCTGGGCAAAGTACAACCACAGATAAAGTATCAGGCTTGGTTCTATTTACTCTAAAACAAAAACTTATGTCTCCATTTCAAAGTTATTGAGTTCTTTTTACTAATCATCTGCTCCATTAGGCGTAATTCATAGGATTTTATCTTAATCTTTTGGCCAATTTAAATGAAGGAATATTCCTTTTTTTTTAATGTTTGATTAAAGCAAAGGTTCCACATTACAAGCAAGCTAATGGTTCTTACCTGATCTCACCCAGTATATCAAACAGAGGAAGAAACACAATTTCAGCATGTGGAAGTGGAGAAAAAGTGATGTGCAATATCCACAAACAAGTGGCAAGTTGAGTGTTTCCTTATGCCAGATATCTAACACGACTGAATGACACCAATGAAGCGAGTGAGTAGGAAGCAGAAAATAAAGCTGTAGTCAAGCTTCTGCACCTCTGACTCCTCCTATTGAGTGACTTCAGGAGATAAGGTGGTTACTGGGTTGGGACTGATTTTCAATCTATTTCCCTCTCTGTCTATCAGCAGATTTCCACGTAAGCAAGTGATGTCATGCATTGCTGGCAACTCCTGCAGGTGTGGAGGTTGGGAAGTGGGGTAACTAATGCATGCCATGAAAGATCCACAGTGTGGGGGGTTTTGGGTGCCATGAAAGATCCACAGTGTGGGGGGTTTAACTGAACTGCAGTTCAGGTAACTGAACTGCAAGTAGGAGCACTGAGATGGGCAAAAGGAGCTTAGAAAAAAAAAGTCATTCTGCTGATGTAGGGTCTCCCTGTAAGAAATTGAAAATAGTTCTGAGCACTATGAGCAATGATCCAGAGATCATTTTCCCATAAAATTATCATCTGAGCTTTTCCAAGGATTCATTCTCTAATCTAAATTTTGAGAGGGTATGAAAAACTTCTCTGGCAGAGAGGTGAAGCTTAGAGTCCCACATACCTCACCCAGGTATTGATTTGCTGTGTGTTTTTTAACCTCATTCCCTCCGTATCCCATCTGCAAAACAAATCAAGAAATATTTATTTTTATGAAGTTCATTTATTTACACATCCCTTCACTGGGTAAATACAGGAGTGCAGACTACAGATTTTTAAAGTTTGAGGTGAGACAGAGGCAGATAAGTCCTGCATTACTCATGTGTGAAGTGTGGATGCTCAGCTTGCCTACATCTCTGGCCCAATTATTTCCAGTGCAGGAGAAAGAAAACCATATCATAACCATTGAAATAGGATGAAAATGCACCTTAGGAATGTTTTTTGCATGGAATATCCTTTACAGTGCTTCTAAATATAGGTCTAGGTTTCCTTTGTTTCTTTCCACTACAGTTAAGGGTGTATGTGTGTGTGTGTGTGTTAGTGTGTGTTAATGTGTTTCATTACTTAATTTTGAGTGATCAGTGTCTTCAGCTTTATGAATCTGAGCAACTCATCAAAGCTGTGCTGCACAAGTTTTTGCAGCAGACAGCCTTTAGGAGGTGCCACCAAAAGTATCTTTTTCACTTTGAATGAAGTCACAAGGAGCAAAAGATGCAGCATGTCTGCTGTTATGAAAATCAACTCAGCTCAACAAATGACCTTTAATTAAATTTTTGCTCCCATTTCTCGAATATGTCACTTTGTTTGGAGTAAAGTTCACTATGGCAACTCTAGAATTCTTTTGCACTTCCCTGTCACCTCAAATCTTTGACACTTTGCCCAACCACTACTGTAAAAACACAGCTTTGCTGACATCACATATTGCTTAGAACAAGTAATGGCAGAGTGTCAGTCTGGCTCTTTCCTCTCACAACTTTTTAATCTAGATTATTGTTACAACAAAAGCTTAGTGCACCCAAGAAACCTCCAGTCAGGGAGCCTCAGCATGCACTCTGTATACAGTACCCATTCATATACAAGTTAAAGCATGGAGAGACCAACACCACTAAAACCAAATTGCTAACAGCCCCAGTAAAACATTTACTGGGCTTATACAAGAGCCAATCACCTGATCTTAGAAGAAAATCTTACATATGTACTTTTATATGTACCTAATGCCACTAGCTGTGAATAAACTTCCAACATTTATTCTTTTACACAGAAACAGGGAAAAGAAAGGACATTTTAAGTTTCTCTTGAACTGAAAACTGAAATAAGCCCAGCTCACAGTAATGTTGATATAACCTCCCATGAAATGGTTCCAAAGCTCTCTGAAACCTGGGAAAGGACTCCCTTACCAAATCAATGCCCAGAAAGTTTTGTGGTGTTAATCAAGATGTTGAACTGGGGTGAACTCACATCTCTGTCTGGTGACAAGGGAACTGTGCTCGCCAACAGTGGCACTTGTGCTTCTGAGAAATTCAGAAATCCCAACTCCTGTTACTGGCTATACTGTAGGTTCTACTGACATCTCCCTGCCAGGTAAATCCTTCCTGGTGAGACTGAGTTCCAGGTACACTCTCACAAACTCCAAAGTTCAGCTATTTCCCACCCAGCTTTGCTGCACTGTTGTTATGCCCACTCATTATGCCTTGTGTTTTTCCCACAAGGATGCACTCTCTCTCACACTGAAAGGCAGAGTTATCAGGAGTGCCTTATGCAAACCAGTGGAGGATGCTGGCACTGCCTCTTCAGGACTTTGACCCCCAAAGGGCTCAGGACTGCCAGAGTCACCACCTGCTGAATAAACTCTGATAATTTTAGGGGACCCTACAGACTGCCAGCTAAGTATTCAAGCTGAAAAAATAGATAAAAATTTAATTTCACTACAGTACAAGATTGCTATGGTTTATCAATTAAAGAATGGCACTATTACAATTGAATTTATCCCCAGAAGTTTTGGGTAAAATAGCTTCTAAAAACATTACAGTGTGGTTTCTCAAGATGAAGATGGAATTCTTTCACAAGCCTTGATATGCTGATCTGTGGTCATATGCAAATGGTATTTCCCCTTCTAATCTCCTCTCTGCCCACAGGAATTCCGTGGTGTTGGGAAATCCCATTCTCAGACCAACTCTCATTTCTCTTCCGTCTCAAGCCTCTTCTACAGAAAAATTCTTCTCTAACCACTAAGCTTAAAAGCACTTATCCCTTCCAGGCAAGAGAAAATCCCATCAGACTTTTGCAATGCCCTATGTTTAACTATGAAAATAAGTTATCTAAAGATTGCAAACAAAAAAACTCTGACTTGTTGGAAGAATGTAAAACTTACTGTCTTCTGCACTGATGCTTGCAATTCCTGTAAATGTGTAATCCCTTCCTAAACAGGCTTGACAAGCTGGTGATAATCCTCTCCTTTAGAAAATATGGGCACTGAGGCAATGCACACCATTTATGCTTTGGAAAATAAATTCTTTAATGATTATTTCTTACATTGCTGTCATCAGGATGACTTGTGAAAATGTGCTTCTTTGTAAAATTACACTTTAAAAATATACTTGAAATACTGAATATGTGGACATGATTGAAACCTGTTTGTAGCAACCAGGCAGCTGTGGGTTATAAGGCAGTTGTAACTCCATTTTAAAGATAGCAATCATACTCCAGTAATCTTTATTGAGAAGTGAACAACATCTAGTACATGTGTTTTGTCAGTAACTATTACAATGTTTTTCCATGTTGATGAGAGCAGCATTTGGGGAGTGCAGTTTCTTAGCCCGATTTTCACATAATTATGTGGTTTCCCAGTAGTTATTCGCTGTTCACTTGTGGTTTCACTCAGAGGAGAAGGAAACACCCTGTGGCACACACAATTCTTCCCAGGGCCTTGTTCCTGTGCCTTGCATGCTTCCACTGCGAGGTTTGCCAACATCATCCTTTCCTCCTGTCAGCAGGGGAAACCCAGGAAAGAAAAACTGAATTAAGTGCCTTAAAACACTAAAATGTCATGGGATCACTGCAACATGTTGGACCTGTGCCCACTGTGCCACTCTTTGCTCTGTCCCCCTCCTCATCTCCTCCAGCACAGCCACAGAGCATGCACCCCCCTCACACGTCACTCTTCTCTGACATATTTATTTTTCCAGCTATACTAGGTGTTGGAATAAAGTAGATCAGCTTTATTTTCAAACATTCTGTGTTATTTTATAGTTTTTCAGTCTCTTAACTTTTAAAGCCATAATGCATGCAAAATTAAACTCTTCAGAACTCTCCCAGTGTTAACAACCCAAGTTTCTGTTTCCCTAGAAGTACCATTTTTAGCATGACAATACACGGTAAAGACTCCATCAGGTCAACAATTTCCTTACCAGCAGGTGCCTCCACCAGTGCCTTCAAATTTACAGTTTTGTCCTCACCAGAATCAAGGTGCAAATGTTAAGATTGCACAGAGCTCTTCTGAACTGGCCCTGCCACATCCAAGTGAATGTGAAGGGCACCAGGTGCAGGAAAGACTGTCTGAAAGAATGAGAACATGGCAGAGTTGTGACAATGACACATGGAGTACTGAAAATAACAAAAGCAGACAAAGGGAGCGTGGCCAGAACCACAGGAAGTCAAGAAAAAGACGCACTAATAGTGGATAACTGGATTAATCATAAATATTTTTTTTTGGTTCCTTGGTTTTCATCGGTTTCTCTGGGTCTGGATTGAAGACACTTGAGACAGTAGTTCATGTTCAGACTCAAGTCATTAATTTTTCTTATTAGTAAAACAGTCTCACTACTGTGAGTTCGGCAGCTTTTCATTAGAAGGCACAAAATGGCCGACAATCTCCTGTTACGAGGTCTTTTCAGACTAAACTATCCAATTAAGAGCTGACACCTGGATTATTTTCCCTTTTAACCCAATGACTGATCCCAAAGAGCCCCCAGTACAGACTTTTCTGCCCAATCACAAAATGCCACCTAAACCCATGAAGAAGAAGGAAGAAGAAGCATGAAGAAGAAACCCAGGATGACACCCTGTGCCTTCCATCTTGCTTCCATCCACAACATACTAAAAATCCCAAATCCTAACTTTCTTATCAAGTGATACACCAACACTACTCTCTATAATCTATTTCACACTTCTGTGGATTTCCATCTATCTTGAAGTCTGGGAAACTTTCTCCATGAATGAGGGTCAAAGTCAGTGCTCCCCTGGAGGTCAGGGCACCCCAGAGCAGACAGAGAAATATTCCCAGTACCCCAGTTAAGCAGAACTAATGATCAGATTTTCAGAGGGCATGTAGATTAATGTAAGAAAATATTTAATAGCACTTTGTTCCTATCCTGTAATCTTAAATTCTAAAGCTGACACATTCCACATTTTATGTAAAAATACAGGCCATCAAAGTGTGTTTTGATGTCTAATCAGACCCAGTTTCCTGCATATAGAT